CTGTTAAATTTAGAATAGAATTTCTTATGCTATTCTTATAGTTAAGCTCCTCTCTCGCTCTCCCACTCTTTGACTTAATTTCAATATTTTTTTAAATGATTATGGTTTATTTACTTAAATAACTTTTAGCTGAGGTTGTACAAATTTTAGGGATATGAATCATTTCATGGAAAGATATTCATGGAAATGAGATCACAATAAGCACTGGCAGACTATTTCTACTGCAGGGGTTAAATATTCCCAGGGTGGCGGCTGTGAGGCGCTCTGAAGGTGGACGGGTTAACGGTCACAGAGAATCATTTTAGTGAAAATATTCAACTCGTCGTCACTGATAATGAGACAGCCGAGAGAGCGTCTCACGTTGTTAGTTTGATTTCAGCAGTTTGTTGCCCTCCGCTGGGAAAACAACCTGAGTGCTTAGAAGCAGAATGCCGCTAACGGATGGATGGGGAGCTCTTTAATTAGTGACTGCCTCGTTTCTGTTCAAATAGCTTTTATTTTGGACAGCTGTGTCTTCATTAGCTCCGCCGTCCGGGGTAATTACATCACAGCGTTTGTCTAAACAAACCCTGAGGCGTTACGTCCCCAAACGTGCACTTTTAAAGGGCAGTCAGCTGATCATTGTCACCTTAGTAGAATCCTGGAGGTGCAGGACCTGAGGGAGATCAGGTACGCTCTACGGGGTCAGAGTCTTGTGCTTCCTGTGGTTTGGCGCCACAGCTGAAGGGATGGTAATGCGGTCAAAACATTCAAAACAGAGTGTAGAGACCCTTCTGGTCATTTATAAAGGTTGCTACGCACAAAAAAGTTGCCTAATTGTTGGTGAAATGTGCAAATTTATTTGGAAAAGTTGGGTTTTATGGAGAAATGAGGAGGTAGATAGTGCGCATTTTTACACAGGCTTTCACCCACGCTTAGTGCTCCAGCAAAGTTCTTCAGACATGGGAACAGGTGACGTCAGATGGTGAGATCATGAAATAAACCTCAGCCCTCAATAATGAAACATATATGAAATATAGTTTGTGTGTACCTCAAAATTGTGGAGACTTTTATTATTATTATGATAGGATTAATGAGAATACTAAATGCCAAACTCCCTGCCAAAAAAAAACACATTTTACTCTTTTTAAGAAAAAAGTACTCTGAGTGAAGGGAACAAGAAATATCTCCCGCTGCCAAGTCGTATCTAAGGTTCGTCCTGGACAAAAACCAAATGTGATAAAATAAAATGATTGAATCTTAGAGTGCAGTAAACTCACACACAGTGAGCCTACCTGCCGTCCGTCGATGGCTCCTCTCATTTCTTTGAATGTGGCCTCAAATTCTCCGATGTAGTCGTGTTTCCCGTTCGAGTCCCAGTCCCACACGGTGCACTGAGTGGACGAAACAGCAGAAACATGGATGAGAAGCTAAACACTTTAAACACTACTAGCGTAGGAGCGGTGGAACCAGCGGGGAATAATGCCGGGGAGCGGGGCCAGAATGAGCCACAGAACCAGAGTCGGGTTGATTTCCAGCGGCTCCGACCAGAACTATTACTCTGTGGATGAAGACCCGGCGGGTTTAGACATCGACAGGAGAGGAATGAAACGGACGAAGAGGAGCCAGTTTGTAGCCAG